CATCTCTAATAAACTTGACTTTTCATCTCCAATTTGAGCAAATTGATTGCGATCTTGGAGATAACTTACAAACCAATCATGCGGCCTACCACGGGCACCATATTTACAGAGTTTGTCTGGCAATATTTGATAATTTATTGTATCAAATGCTTTTGAGAAGTCTAAGAAGAGGCCACAAGATATAAAATTATTTCCAGTAGAGGCCTTCAGATTATCAGTGATCTCCATAATCGCTTGCTCAGTGGAATGACTTTTCCTAAAGCTAAACTAGTACTTAAATAATACATCATGCTTATCAAGGTATTTAACTATAGATGACTCGCTCCAAGGCCTTACTGAAGGGGGACGGTGTAGCTACTATCAGGACTGGGTGAACTAAATACCCGCACATAACATTACCTGAGAGGCATTTGGCAGCGCTCGAACATAGGGTAAATAACGCCATCATAGAGAGGAATAAGGATCAGAACAAGGATTGGATTCAGCGCCTAAGATAATAGAAAAACAAGTTGTTTTGAAAGACTTCATCCAGATATCTAAGAGTATTCAAAAGGAAATAAGGCAGAGAAAGAGAGCGATTTACTTACTTGGATTTGATCTGATCGTAACGTGAAACCACCCTAGCAAAAAGAAAATTTGCAAAAGTTAGTAGCTTGCCAACGAAGCATCATCTTTTGCCGTCTCCTGTCGAGCGCATGCATGCACTAGGTGTGCGCAAAGGGCCAGACACTTTCCTCCTTCTCTCGCGCGTGACTCGTACTTCGCGCTAGCCTCAGCTCGCTATCCACCTGCCGCATGATTAGTCAGTCTCAATCACATGCAGCATGCCTAAAACACCTCCGTTGCCTTTATATCTGCAGATTTCAACTAAATCTTACCAAATCACCATCCATCTGCTCTGCTTGAAGAGTCCAACTTGATCCCTAATTATAAAAGAAACAATCGCAGAAATTGTACAACACCTCTCAATAGAAAACGCAAGTACATAATCCTATTCAATAAGTATTTTCCACCTTTCCCACCCATTCCACTTGAGTAAAACAGAAATATATTTTTTGCTCGCCCGATGAATTAAATTAGGAAAGAGGACCGCTCGTAATTTACCTTCCATCCTTTTTTTCTCAGGAGCCGTGAAATAAAAATCTTCGCAATCAAATGGAGAAATTTAATGGCCTTGATAACACTCACGAAGTTGAAATTTACCTGTTGATGGAAAAGCGCCCAAAACACCGGAAGAGGGATGTACATCTTCAGCACACGGAGTAACAATTTGATGTCGTTAATTTCCTTTTGCTGAAATAAAGAAACTTATAACATTAATTACTACTAAAATGTACAAGAGCAAATTTGAACGCCTGGAATCATTCTCTATTATCTCCAAACTGAAATTACCCTCTAAAAGAAGATCAGAAAAATATTAGTCCTTATGATTCGCATTTTGGGGATGTAATGTGAGAGACGATTTCTATATTACCATGGGTGGAAAGACGATTGAAAGCTCTCGACATACAAGTGACGTCTCGTACCTCTTCTCTCCTCCACTGAAATCAAGATACTGTGCAGCGAGAAAGTAGGAGATGGAAAATTTAAGGGCTCGTGCTTCGCAAGTAAAAACGACAAGGGGGATGAGATGGGAAATACAGAAGATCTCGCAGTTTTCAGAAAGCTAAAAAAGAGTTCAAATCAGTCAGCCTGAATGCCGCAAAGGGGCATGAATAAAAGAAATAGATTGAGTCATAAAATAAAAACAACAAACAAATATGATTTACCTCGTACTCATCATTAGCGTTGTCCAACCAATGGGTAACTTGCGTAGGCCCGGAGCTCCTGAATTTGTTTGATAAAGCGTGCTGTGAAAATAAATTTGACAAAGCTTGTTTGTCTTTCTTTCAAGAGATTTTCAGGCTTGCAAAAAGGCTTTTGTTTCGAGCACAGAGTGAAAAGGCGTCAGCGTCATATAGTTTTAATACAGTTGAGCTCAGCTAAAGTGCCAAAGCTGTTCTTCCCTGATCTAAATTGGCTTTTCCCTATAACAACCATACATTATCCCGCACGCAGGTATTGAGAATACTCAAACTTATCAGGTAGACGTTGTTATCTTGATTTGACACCAAATTCTCGTAACGTATTTTCTAGGAAATGTATAGAGGCAAGAGGAGAGAAATAACAATTAAATCTTGGGAGTTAAAGGTTAAGATATATTTTTGACTGTCTATCTCTCCTTTTATCCCGAAATGCGAAACTCGTTGTAACTGAAATCTTGACCAAAAACTCTTAAAATGTTTTCTGCGTCCTTGTGTAAGATGATGCAATGTTAAAATTGTCTCACGGTTCAAGCTGGAAAAGGAAGCTTAAAAACAAGAAATCTTCATCTCACCCATATGATTTTAAAAACACGGATCATGACGTTTCCAGCTGGATCTTTCAGCGTGTAAAGCCTTTTTCCGGCCACAAGAGAAACTACAGAGAGAGAAACGTATGAAGCAAAATATTATGCATTTACGCTCAAAAACGGTAAATATTTCAAACTCTTGCTTTTTGTTTAAAGATACTCTACATAAGTTTGAAAGTCTATGAAAAGTAGTATGAGCTGAAAGCGACGTCAACTTAAATAACTGATAATCTTAAGATGCTATGAAGGACCTTTTTCTTTATTTGTTGATTCCGGCTTTTTTTATCTTTTGGTCCTTGCTTTGTTTCATTGACCTTGAGGATCTAATGACCTTGACTGCTCACGCGCTTGCCAAAAGCTCGTAACAGGTGAGAATATCGAGAGAGCACAAATGGTACTCGAGATTTTAAGACAACATCTTTTTCGCACCAAAATATTGAGAAATGCGCCACGATTTATTTTGTGTGGTTCAGAAGTGATCGAAAACAAGAGATTAAGTTTAGCTTTTATATCGAGACTATCAACCTTGAGAGACAATTCATTTCTTTTTGGCCTGTACTCAGTTACGCGGCTCGCCTTTCAACACCACCACGTCCAGTCTATCTTTTTATGTTGTATCTGACACGATTATGTCCATTGGCAAAAGCCTGGGGAGCGTAAATGCCAGTCCCGTTTATACACTTACGTGTTGCAGTGATGATGAGAACTGTGTTTATCGCAAACACTACTGGATAACAGTCCCGTCCAAAACACTGCACATCAGCTGGAAAAAAACAAGTAAGACAAGAATTGTTTCAGGTTGTTTTTTTTTTTTTTTTTTTCTCTGTTTCACCGTAAGGTAGCAAGAATAAGCAATGATATGGCTTTTTCGTCCGCCTTTAAGAGGAAACAGAAAGTAAACAAACAAACAAGCAAGCTAAAAAAATATATTACTCACTTCGCACCATAGGAATGAACCACATGCAGAGTACCGCGCCAACGTTGACGGACGCGTAAAACATCGCAAAGAAGAGCTCTAGCATGTGTTCCTATTGAAATTAAATAAGCTTAGTATTCACGTCAAGTCTCTCTGTATCAGGCCTTGAGAAGGCTTTTTTTCCTAACAGAGACCCGCATTCCTTAAATCCAGGGACAGATCAGGAATTTTTTATCGAGAGGGGAAGAGTCAAGACTTTGATCCAGAGAGCACAGACATTTTCGTTGCACTTAGGCCTAAATACGCCGAGAACTATCTTAAGACAAGTAGATTTTACATACTTTACATTAGGTAGTATAACATGGTATCTTGTCGTTGCAAGAATATTGGTGTCAAACAAAGAAAGATGTGAAAGGGGGGAGGGGCATCAAGACGAACCGAACCCTCCCCTCTTGATCTGCCTCTGCATTAGGCGTCTTCATGTGGTTACAAAGGGTTCAGTCACGGCAAGCGTGATCGTCACGAACCAATAAGATTTAAAGAAATCAAACTTGACGTCTGTCAATTGCCGGGGAACCCGAGGGAGTCAAGTATAATTCTCGATTTATGTCTAAGCTCTCTTCGCCAGTCGGAACACGAACGCGAAGTAATAGAGAGAGAATTTGCATTTTAAGGTGACTACACTTTTAATCAGCAAGAGTTACGAGTTTGTCTCATTGGCCTAGTAAAGATAATAAATGAACTAACCTGATCTTTACGGAATTGATCTCCACCAAAAGCGGCAAGACAAGGCTTGATGTTACCACAAGCAATAGCCATGGCGAACAATGAAATTAAAGGTCCCACTCTAAAAAAAGAAAAAAAAACGAGAATAAAAATATGGAAGGACAAATAGGTGTGAAAAAGCAACATGAAGCAAATTAAAACGAAAGGAAGAAAAAAAATAGCGCCAAACTGATCGAAAAATTAGCGAAACGGAGAAGCTGAAGGAGATCAAGTGAGTATATGTTGTATCTTGAGGGTACTTACGAATTCCGCTGACCAATAGTGTCAACACTTGTCAATGTGAGAAGGATCTCCGAAATGGAATACAGGAACAGTGTGTAGGCGATGGTTCTATAGAAAAAACAAAAACAAACAAACAAATTTCGATTGTGTGATTAGCCTCAGAGTTTGCTTAAAAAGTAGACTTCATCATCCGCATGAACCTTTAGAGTTAAGTTGAACCGAATAAAACGATTTATTTTGCACCCACCGATACTTTCCAAGCCAGCTGTCTGCTATCATGGCGCCGATAACTCCCGTAAAGTAACTTGTCATACTAAATGCGTGATAAATGCTCTTGCCATTGGCCTTATTAAACATGAGGTCTTTAGTCAGATACAACACAAGTACCGCTGTAAAGGAAATTGTTACACGATTAACAATGCCAGATACCTATGTATACTATACGCGGTTAGTTAAACTTGTATATTTCGTCTGTGCGGTAACAGGTTACTTACTTTTGATGCCATAATACGAAAAACGCTCCCCAAATTCTGTCAAGAGAATGGGCCAAGTTGCTTTTGGAAAGCTGATAAACCAGTTCTATAGGGAGACAGAAAGGAATGAGCGACTTGTTCAAAAAAAAAAACGCTGATCAAAAGTGTGCGATTCTCTCGCTGACTGAGATCTAACTGCGATATGGCATTATAAGGAAGGAAAAATTCGGATGGAAAGTTAAGAAAATTTAAGAACAAAAATCATACCTTTGCTTTGGTGCAGCAATTGCCAGCATGTTCAGCATCTTCTTCAGCTAAAAAATGGAAGGGAGGAATGTCAATGGTTGCATTGGTTTACGGAGCTGGTGCCGGCGGAATCTACTAGCCGCGAGAGCTCTTTCATTCGCCAAGGGAACTAGGGACGAGCTTTCATTGCGTAACGCTCCCCCGGGATCGCAAGCTATGACAAGCTCCTGATTGTTGCAACAAGAGCGGCGAGGCCCGCACGCAAAGCGAGCGCGCGAAACGCGCGCTTCGAAACGCGGTTCGTGGTTCGAAACGCACGGGCATCGCCGCTCGGTATGGAACGATGCTTGCACGTCTTCATCGAAAAATTCTCAAAAAATCTGAGTGCAACAAATACAAGTCTTGTCCTGATAAGGAGCTCAAAGTGGAAGGTCCTTTCTTAGTCGTCTTCCGGAGCGATAAACGTTACCAATCAGAGCAGGAGAAATAGGAACGAAGTTTATTCTTGAACCTCCTAATAAGATAATCTTGTGTACCTTGCAAGCTCTTAGAAGCTCCTGGAAGGGAGGGTGGAATTTCTCTGTCGCCAGAGTGTCTATTCTTTTTCTACAAAAGTAGATTTTGACCTTATCCACTTCTGTCAGTGAAAAAGTTACTAATCTTACTAAAAAAAATCATGTTACAAACATGAATGTGGTACAGCTTAACGCCTGACGGTAATTCAAGACTGGTATGTCTCCATTTCTCTGGTGCTTTTTGAAAGTACGTCCTGCATGATTGCCCCCCGAAGAGTTATTTTTGATCAAAAGGTAAACTAGAAAAAAAGAGGTTTCGTATTCACTTTCTTGTAACCCACTGGCTACCACATGAAACTGAGATCTAAAACATGTTTGTGCAATGATATGTCACAGATAAGCTGATTAAAAATGTCGCACAAGTACATAGTATTAGCCAAGTTGTTGTGCCACCCGGTACCGGGACGGAAACAATCACTGCCTGTTTGTTTACTTGCAAGCAACCTGAAGTTTACCAGACCGAAGAGAAAATACAGCGATAGGAGCGTTGAAATCGTCACAAAAGAGAAAACAAACTGATGGCACTTTTCAGTTTTTAAGAGATTCCAAGGTCAACTCGTATTTTGACTTGGCTTTTAGGTCTTTGACAAAGTTTCAATATTATACAAGCTAACGTATACAGTAAAACATATATCCGGTAAAACCATTTAGAATCGACAGCTCACAAACATTAGAAAATAACTTTTTTCCCTTTAGACCTGGTGCCAAATCAATCAGCAGCTATTTCATTCAAGACTAAAGCAAACGATATTTTATTGTGGACTTGAGAGATAAAATTTGAGTATCCCGTCCGACATTTTGACCCCTATAATGACAAGGTTGCTAGGCATTCAAACTGAAATGAACAACCTTTAAGTTAAATTACCGGAACAGACTTGGGTGGTGAAAATCGCACAGCAGTTTAGTTCGTGTCGAAAACATGGTATCTAGTGTAAAAGTAAAAAGAATCCGGGATGTATTTCGTCTGCATAGAAATGTCGTATTGACATTTGACACGGCCAAAAACACCTACAGCTGCTGCAAAATCGAGGACAACACACACATGTGAATGATCAAGAAAGCACTGAATTGCGGAATCTTTCCAGGAAGATTGTCACTCTGTTCTTAGTAATACCAACACCAGCCCGTCCTGAGTGCGCAAGCTGTACACTTGATTTTAAGTACAAACATTTGGTAATAGGCTACGGCAAACACGGCGTTTGATTAAGTTCAGAGTCCAATTACAACTTAAAAAAAGTACTTCATTTCTCTGTCGTCAAACAACAAAGACGAAAGTAAGAGCGCTGCTAAAATATTCACACTCAAATCAGTTAAGATGAGATTTAAGTTAAAAATGCTAAAAGGGTACCGCCAAGATAAAGAATTGTTAACAACCGTTCTGCGTCCAATTTGGGGGACGATCCCTGGTGCTTCCAAACAGTGATGGCGAGGCTTAATGTTCAACTTACTTGCAGGCTCATATTTGATTTTGCTCTCTGTCCTGTCACGTATTCCAGCCATCACTTGCTGATTTCAGACAAGAAATCACAAATTCTTTGAGGGAATCTTTTAATTTCTGTCTTTGCCCGAGTGAAAGGGATGTCAGGCAAGAACCCAGGTCTCAGGTTTCCAGAAGGTAACAATTGCTGTTAAGGCGACAGCTAATTGACCAATCATGTAACTGTACATACAGTCAATCATTTCCAATCAGACAGTCTTTGTTAAGAAACTCATTTGAAAAACCTCACTACCTGCTCACCGCCGATGCATTTCCACTGTATATGAATTTGCCTTGACAAAATTTGCTCGAAATACCATACGAAATTCTTAATTGAAACTTGATCAACCAGTTATCAATAACTGTCATTTCCAGCCTACGATAAGTAAACTATATTTGTTTATCAACGGTACAACGATTATTAATCATTACATAATTCTAATCTCAGCAGGCATGGGAAAGTGGACAGGTTTGTAAACCATGGGAAGAGAGGGAAGAGGCGAGGTTGCTGATGCGTTACAAGGCTTGCACCGGGTGTCAATTTTCCTTTGTCCTTTTAAATTGTTTGTTCACTTGTTAAAACAATTTGGTTCATAGCAGAGAAAAAATTTGAAAATCCAACAACCACTACGTCAATACAATTTGCGACTTGAAGTTGCAAATAATGCGCTAGGGAGATCGTGCTTACATTGTTAAGAACCCTAAGTTCTCATTATGAGGTACATCTATTAAAATTGGTATTACTAGGCAGAAAAAATATGGTTTTCTGAAGGTGATTTCGATTGCTAACTTCATCTGGGCGACTAACTGCAACAGATGAATAAATAATTGTTCCGCTTGGTCATATTAAAATATCTTACCAAAGTGAAATACATCATAAATACATCATCAAATACATCAAAAATCGGAACATAACAAAACAACCGATGCAGGTAATTTGTACAAATAAGTTGCTCGATACGATTTACACACAGCCATTACTTGAGGTAGGCCTTGCGAGTTTTTGCTATATCAAAGTGTTCAGTAAGCGCAAAATCGTCGAAGTCTCACAAGTGACGAAGGAGCAGAAAAAAAACCAAATCGTTTGGAAATGTTCAAGTTCATTTTCAATCTTTCTCCTCCATACCTGATTTATTCCGAGGTCCCGATGGAAGAAAGGTTACAGAACCATGTTCCTCTTCTGAACTGGCAGAACTTCTTCGATTTGAACTAGTTCTAAGAAATGAGAGAGCGCTGCGCTTAAAATCAGATTTTGGCATCGTTTAAAGCTACTCGGTCACTGCTCCGGGTGTTTTAAACTGTTCTCAAGCATATCGAACCTAGAAAGACTGACCGTTCACCAACCAATGATAGTCTTCAAGACAGCCAGCACGTCACTCCACGTCAACTTAACAAAGACACTCTAAATGGAAAAGTGAGAGTTGTTTGCATTTACGCAGGATGTTACGAATTACGGTAAGTTGTATATACTCAAACAAGACTCGGTAAATCGGTTTAACTTTTTGTATTTATTGCGATTTAAAGCTTCTAGAGGTCTCATAAGGACAAAATTCAATAAGAGACGGTATGAGAACTGTAGAATTTAATTCTACAACGGAGGCAGAATCCTACTTAAGATCAGATGAAATACCAACTTCGTCTTGTAAGTTATACTTAGAGATTGTGGAAGTTTCATATTATATTTACTATCTCTCTGCGATGTAGAAATATACAGAACAATTTTTAAATAAATTTTACTTTTGCTTGTTACGATCGGAGCAAACATTGAAATGTTCCTAGACTCTCAGTGCAATCGATGCCGAGCCGTCCTCCTCTTGGATTGCACCTTCGGTGCATAGACCACTCAGCGCACGCTGAATGGCAAGTGTACAAAAGGAAGGAAAGGGGAGGGGAGGGCGGGGAATTAATGTTGGCACAAGTCGCGATCGTTTGACCTGCCTCTTTTCAATGAGTAATAACAATAATAATTATTATTATTATAATAACAATGCATTTATTATTCCAAATGAGTGCAAGACGATTGAAGAGGACAGCCCAGCAACTTTAGCATTTAAGAAATGAACGGTTCACAGGGCATAACCGGATAGTTTTAAGCCAAAATAATCTTCAGTAAGTTCTAATTCATTACTGCATACTTTGTCCTCAACAGATGTTACACCGACCCTGTACATTCACTGGCTGCTAATGCCACCAAATGAAAAGGGTGATTTCAGGACGGAACAGTCAAACCAGAAGGAGAATGGTTCCAAGTATTCACGTGACAGTCAGGTGATTGTCACGTGTTTGCCGCACCCTTATCATAATCGGCAATAAGTCTCTTAATATAGGATAGTTTTTTGTGCAGCTCTTGACACCTATTCGTAGTTGGAAGCCATCTAGGATCCTAGAAATGAAACACACTGTCAGTTCCGGTGTCGAAAGCTTGCCTGGATAGCGATGAGCGAAGACCTGTTCTATAGGCGGCCTTGGGGAATTTGCTCACGTGACAAACAAATATGGTACAAAAAATTACTTTGACAAACGATGTTGCTTAACCAATTGCAAAAATATTTTCATAGTTACAGCTTTCAAAAAATAAAATGACAGCCACTGCTTGTTAAGTTGTAAGCCATACATCCTTTTATGGGGGTGTTCTTCTCCTGATGTGACAAACACATAGTATAAAAAACTATTTTAACAAACAACGTTGCTTAACCAATTTTCGCAAATAATGTCATAGTTACAGCTTTCAAAAAATTAAATGATAGCCACTGCTTGTTAAGTTGTAAGCCATAGATCTCACCTTTATCATCTCGTGGTAATGTTCACGAATTTCTTTGTCTAAGTCCTGCGAAGAGAGAGAGGGAGAGAGAGAGAGAGAGATTAAAGAAAGCCGTAATTAAAAAATCTCAAAAAAGTCAAACAGACTCTAAAATTTTCTCAATACGCTTACACTCAAAACTTCAAAAAGGAGCAAATTCTAACCCGAGAGAAATTTTGAAACCCACCCGTTGCCGTTTTAGACTGAACGAAATCTTGTGCAGCTCCAAACACCACGCAATTTCCGCGCGGCCGTTACACAACTGGAGAATAGCGTGGCAAATAGTCGCGGTTCCTTTTAATTCTATTAACATAAACACGAGCCACACACTAACCTCTCTTTCCGCTGTTCCCTCAGGAAACTGGAGTCTTTTGCTTTGGAGATCATGGATTTTCTTTTTCATTGAGTCTACCTTCGCTTTCAAAGACTCGTATTCTGGCAATTCTGCATTAAAATCTTTCTTGTACAAACAGCGTTGTTCATAAGTGGTGATTGGTTTGTATTTTCTGAAAAAAAAAAAAGAAGCTAGTTAGCTTCGAAAAAAAAAACTGTTTGGCTCGACATAAAAACCAAAAGTAAAACGTTTTCGCATTGGACTGTGTCCTTAAATACTCTAGCTTTGTGACAAAAAGTAACTAATATATGTGTATTTAACTGTAGGAATCTGATAAAAATTGTGCCAGTTTTCGTGGAAGGAAAGTGGGCTCGTTTCTCGGACAGCGGCTGGTTATCAGGCCGACGTAAATGTTCATGACTGATGCAAAGGTTAATCTTTGCCCTTGGTCAAAAGAATGTCTTCGTCAAGTGTTTTCATTTACGATAATACATATAGTTATTAATCCAAAAACAAAACAAAAATAAAACTAAACCAGAACACTTAAGATAACTTACTTGGTAAAGTCAGAAGAATCTAAGCCATTTAAACCATTTAGTGAGTTTTCTATAACAAAAGGAAACAATCACTTTCAAACAGGTTTAAAACAAAGTGAAGTCTCATTTATCATGAATATTATAGGGGCCTTTAGAGACTAGTTAAGGACATCTAACGTAGAATATATAGAAACATTAATGCTTTCACTCCACGAATGTAGACGCGGGAGACGACTGTAATGGAACTGTTGCTAGCTGGTTCTGGTCGGCAATTTTTCACTAAACGCTATACGACAGAAGCTATTGAGCAAGCACCGCCGAGGAAAAGAACTTATTTTATCGCCACTAAACTATTCCGATGAATCCTCGAGGTAGAAAGACTTACGCTGGCGTGTTTCCCGCAGAAATGTCTAGGCCTCACCAAAACGTGCACATTGGAGGAACAACTAATTTCTTTAACGTAAAACGTAGATTAAACTGAGTCTGCTTTTCTTCAAAACGTACGGCTGATGTTCTTCGTAAATCCACGTGAAGAAACCTCTGGATAAAAGTCTCATTCACTTTTTACTGCTCAATATTCGATTGGAATTGTAATGTAGTTGAGTTCACTAAGGGCCCTCAGGACTCCCCGCCAACGGAAACCTCTCTAAAAGAGCATTTTGTGACAGCATTCATGTATATACCTGCAGAAATTGATTCTTCTTCATCGTCATTTTCGTCTTTTTTGTCCAACACAGACTCCTCCACTCGCTCTCTTTCCTTTTCCTCTGGCAATTTAGCTTTTTCCACCTGAAAGGTGTCTTTCTCTAGAGAGTCTTTGACGATATTATTGTTGTTTTTAATATGAGAAATGCGTTGTTTCTTGGCTGAGTGTTCTGCTTCACTTTGTCGGTGCCTTTTACTTTGTGGTTTGCTTGTCTGCCAAAAAGTTTCAACAAAACATTACATCTCACTAATTGCTACTCTGGAATCTCAATGGCTGATGCAAGAGCATTAACGGTCTATCACGCGGGGCTTTTTTATCTGTCAACGGAAAAATCACACCGTGAACTGAACGAAAATATGTGGTAAATGGACGTGTTTAACTGTTTATCGTGTACATGCGCTATGAACCATTGTCAAATACCTCCGAGTTCTTTGTCTTTGGTGGAGAAGAGGAGGTTACGACAGAGCTATTATTCAGTTCAGTTTTAATTTTTCTGCAAAATCAAATCAAATAATCAGCAGACTGTGACGATTCAGACAGACAAAACAAAGCAAAACAAACCATTTTCACTTGAAAAAGGTCGGTCTTCTAACTCAAAAAGAAAGCATGTCGAGTGTTTTAAAACTCCGCTCACCTGCGTAGAATCTGCTTTTCAGTTTCACTATAACTAGGCCACGTTTCAACCTGAAAAACGAATGTCAATCAATGCATGTCTACGAACATTACCAAACAAGAGCTATGAAGCCCTTTAATAGGTTTATGGACGTTTCACCCTGTTGTAAGTTCGCCCTGTGAAGAAAAAGAAGTTCGTTCCCACCCTTATTAGTTCACACCAAAATGTTTCAACTTCCTTCCTTACTGCACAACATATTCCTCTTCAGCCGAAATCATTTTTTATTCTTATCAATATGCAATTTCAAAGTGAAACCACAACAAAGTTTGTTCAAGATGCAAATTCTTAGTCGTGTTAACTGCTTATTTACTCTTCCGGCAAAGCACCTAACTGTCCTTAAAATTTAAAACTTAAAACAACCCACGCATGACGTCTGATCCAGTGTGAGCAACCGACAAAAATGTACATGTACAAGAATCATCATGTATTAAATCCTTCTACCTGAAAGAAAATCTCCTATTTAATGTTTGGATGAATTTGCACAGGAAAATATCGCTTAAGAGCACAGCCCAAATTCGTTAATTTTAACCATTCCTCATTGTAAATGCAGCCTTGAGTAAATATAATTTGCAAAATTTGCATAAGAGCATTGATATACCACCCGTCATAGGACAAACAAAAATTTTCTTAGTACCTGAACTTCAGAATACAAATGTTTTAATAATCTGTATTGATTGTCAGTCATAACAGCAACCTGTAAAGAGCACAAGAAAAGACACTGTTATTAACAAATTCACTGCTCTTTAAATTAATCAGAGTTATTGAGTATGACTTCATATGAATTAAACAACACAATGTAGATTGTACGTGACATTTTTTCAAAGAGAATGAAATAAAAATTTCAATTAGAGATGAAACTGAACTAAAACATCCATCAAGCGCTAAACCCATTATCATTTAATAAGTATAACTTACCCATATGGCTAAATATTTGATAAGGTATCATAAATTCAGAATGATGAATGACCAAATAAATTTTTAACATAGCAATGGAAAGGGGAAATTGCTTTTCTGAGGGTAAGAATGTAATAAAATCATTGTCATAATGCTTCAACAATATGTATGAACACTGGTTCCATTAATGCAATCTACTTACCTGTTGTAATATGCCTGTTAATGAATTTCTGTCTTTTAAATTCACTCCCTCTGTAAAATAGTAAAGGCAATTTTGTCAAACTAATTGCAATTTGTGTTCCTAGCAGACAGCAGTTCAAAGCTACTGTAGATATTGCTTCAAAATCTAGATGCTGATTAATG